CAATGGACAACGCAACACAAAAAACAAAAAGGGTGAATGAGATAGGGCAGGGGGTTGATCACCAAGGCAAAACTAATGTGACTAACCATTCGCGTTGTTTGCGTAGATCAGACTTAAGAGTGAATGGCTAGGGAGGGCCTCGGCAAATTTCAGTAATTTTGTGTTTGCTATGTTGTTGATGACACGGAATGCGTGGGGTGGGGTGACACAGTGTTTTTGTTCGAGTAAATGTTGCGTTATCGAACATCTAAGCTTTCTCCGATCAATCGATGACGTAACGTTTGCAAAATTGTCGTCCATTGCTTTCTTAAGCCACACCGGGATGTGTTCGGCCATTCTGTGACGTAACTGCCTCTCTGTCCTGCCTATGTAGACGGCTGAGTATCCACACTTGAATTGGTAAATACAATACGAGAAAGACAAGCTGACTTTCTTTCACCTAAATGTGGCACAGAGCTCAGTGAGCAACGGCACGCAAAGCTTCAAACAGCGCAACTAGTGTACGGTCCCGGGTGGCTTGGTTGATTTACGGGATGGAGGAGCGAAAACCAGACACGCCAAGTTTCTAATTTAGTTCAGTTACTATGCAAAGGGAAGCTGTTAGTGCGTACGGTAAGAAGAGGTGTTCGACAGTTATGTACTAGACTGAAAATCAATAGCGAACACGTGGATCAGTCATATGCCTCCTGTTTGCTACAGGGACCCGGGCCAAGGATTCCATTTTTTTCACTTCATCCATTCACATTGCCTGCCTCACCAAAGTTTGGTTTCTGTACATCAACATTCAATTGCTGGACTGGTTATCTCACAGTCCTAATTTAACTCCATTAAAAAAGACGTTCTTTCTGCACAGAGAGCGAACTGACAAAAGACCATTGTTGAAGAATGAACGCAATTATGAGTAGAATTCACAGGGTCCTTGATCAATAATATCACGATAAACTGACTGTGTGTTACTATTTAGATTGACCGTGAAAGGACTTCACATCCCCGTTGAGCGTTATGCAAACATATTCAGTCTTCCATCTGGAAGAAGTCTATTCCCTTCGCGTGATAGGTGCCCAAAATTTCACCGTACTAGGTAAAACCATTGCGGCGATACAAGGACAAAACAGGTATTCCCAGTTGCGTTTCGCACACTGAATATGCCAATCCAGTCCCATATAACGGGTACTTTCATATGCTACCCAATCGATTTAGAAACATTCGTTGAGTATCACAGATTCCACGCGCCAATTGGCATTCGTATTTTGATCAAAGCTTGTAATCTGTTTATAATGCAATGCAATAGCATTGCTTCGTATCAACACAATCTGTGTTGGCATTGAATTCTCCCCTGACCTGGATTCTTTCAGGAGAGGTTTTCTATCTATCGGAGTTATTATATTGACGAAAGAATCGTTTTTCCGTGTAACTTTGACCTTGTCCGTCTATGATTTTTTTACCATTTAAAAAAATATTGTTTAACGCCTTTTGCTGTTTTACGCATCGAAATACAGGCTCACTGTTGTCCCGTGACTACCGTCGGCCAAGTTTCCCGTTTCATTACCGCCCTACTGGAAGATCGTAAAATTGCCGCGGCCACGCATAACATTTTGGCCTGGCGAATTGTCGATCATAAACGGAACCAGGCTAATCCGGTTGTCCATGCGGATTGTGACGATGATGGTGAAACCCATGCGGGTTCCCGATTGCTTCATCTGTTAACTATATCCGGTGCGGAAAATGTGGCCGTTATGGTCAGTTGTTGGTTCTTTTGTACGAACGTTTGAGGCATTTATTCTCACCTACAACACTACTTCAGAATGTGCACATTGTGGGACAGGAATGTTGTTGTTGAAAGTGGATTTGAAGAGAAAATGGGAATTGCAGTGGACTGATGTATAGAAATTAAGTGGATGCACGAACGCCACGGTTTACGACACTCAGCCATATCACACTGTGTCTTTAACCATCGGTTACAATCATCCCGAGGTCCCCAGCCAGGGAACCTAACAGAACCTATGTGACCCAGCCTCCTGGTTAGGGTTTTCATACTCTCATGCCAGGTCTTCGTTTGACCACCTTTGGCTTTCTTCTATCCAACACTTGCCTCCGCGAACATCGCTCATCGTGGCAATCTATCTGGTGATATGCGTAACACATGCCCCAAACGACATATTCTATGGAGGTAGACCACTTACTCCCATGGGCGACCGCGGTTTCCTTAGACCTGTGGTTTACAGGTTTTGTATATCTCTCATCGGGATTGGGGAACGGAGAGGGGTGGATTACGTTATCATCGACTATCAACTCTGTAGACAGACTGTGTATGCGTGTATGTGTGTGTGTGTGTGTATGTGGCATTGTTCGTGTAATCCGTGCGCGGTCAGGACAAGCTGTGTGTGTGTGTGTGTGTACACGTGTGACCTAGCTGTTTTTGTGAATGCAGGTCAGCTGCGTACAAGATTCTTTGTTTCGTCTAAGCACAAACCACCTGGCATATGTATACAATCCAGGTTTTGCGCGTTTCCAAACCCCGGTTCCATATCGCAACTTGTTCTCGCTGATATATTCATATGCGCATAAACTTTGAAGACACTACAAGCAAGTACACACAGACAGTCATGACTGTCAATTCCCACGCAGTAGTTCTCATTTACTTATGTCATTATCTGTAATCGTTTGAATTGCCAACCTCAAAAGCACACACCCCTCCCGTCACACACACACACACACGCACCTGAGCGATATGATGTAATCGCATCAATTCACCGCCGTTTAACTTTTGTCAGATTTGTTGATATTTCAGTTATGGCAGTTGTTGCTTTGAATTAAATTGATATCGATCGATGGCGTACTAAAATACTATGCTCCGTGCAAACTCACGGACTGAAAATATAAACAAAATATAAAAATATAAACACTTTTTTGGGTTAAATTTGAAGTTTATCCTGATTATTCCTGTCACTTTGTTACGCGCAACTATCTCATTCGTTCGTTCGGCACATAGGTGTCTCGTTGGTATGGTGGAATTCAGCTGGGCCCGGATCGTTTCAAGCATATTAACAATGTGGCACGTCAATTGCTAACCGAACAAGGTTTTCTCGGCTCTCCGGCACAAACTTCCGAGTCCAAGGGACATAAACAGAAGAAAAAGAAGGCACGCTGACCGACCCTCGGATGATTTGACGTGGAGTGTGTATGGTTACGGGGCCGTCCCGCTGGTCTTTCACCGATTGTTTGTTTCTCTCCGGACGTCCCGTGTAATCTATTTCTCTCTCTCTCTCCGTCCCTTGATGCGTTCGAGTTCTTCACCTCGTCTCATCGCAGTCTGAGGACTAATGGGTTTCGAATACAGGTGTTCCAGGTGCCATATCATATTTGCACCTTACCGAAAGAGTTGTGACTTCATGCCTGACAACAATTGATCAAGATGGACTAGAATAAGTCCTTAATAAGCTATATATTCATCTAATAGGTTTTATTGTTTCTTCGAAAAGTCTTGTACAATAAAACTCAAATACCGTACAAATTCCTTGGTCGTTGTATGACTCCGTTGGTGTAGGGGACCTCACTCGGAGCCTTTTGTTAGAAAGCCTAACGTACAGGACAGTGAGACGAGTCGGTACCTCCTAGAATGTGGCCTGCAACAAGCTCATAAAGATGGGTTGTGCTATATCGTGCAAATGGAAACTGAGGAGAACGGGGTCTGATCAGCTGCCCCCGGGGTGGTAGAGTGAGTAACATGTTTACGTTCTGTCTGTGGTTAGGTCCCGGGTTCGCGATCCCCAGTCGCGGGTCAATGGATTCGCGCACTGCTGGTGGGATGAGACCAGCAACCAGGTCGAAACAACTGCTGTCCCTGTTCACGCCTCTTCGAATGTTGGTTGACTATTCACAGTCTCCAGCACATCTTGGTTGGTTTGAAAACAGAGTCGTGTCGGTTTCCTCGAGCCAGTTAACTGTTGGCAATAGAGAATGGACTACTCCAGTAGAGATAGATTATTGTCACAGTCCGACAGTTCACTGCCGACTTATTGCGTATGCCCAGCCATCGTGTGCCTCACCGCGCTCTATTGGCTGTAGCTAATCCGGGCTGGAGGTCAACAGATGACGTGGAGACGAGGCATGAAGAAATGCACAGAACCATTAGGTAAATTAAGTGTTTCACGCCTTCCAGGTTGGGTCTGGAAGACTCTACAACCGGTTGGTTGGATACGTTGAAGGATATGGCAGCGAACCGACAGTAGTGGCGTTCTTGTTGTCATTTCTTATCAAGCCAGAACGCTTGAGACGGTATGTATGCAGAGTTCGATTGTGCACTCTCTGTGTGTTGAGCATAGTGGTTCACCTTCTTCTCCCTCCCTCAAAATAGGTCCAATCCCTATCGACCTTAAATTCTACCACTAATCTTGTATGCATTGCGAGTTTGGCAGCGATTAGTGAAGTTCGCCTCACTGTATTTCGCTGTGCGATGAAGATGATGATGATGATGATGATGACAGATCACTGCAAATGGTTGTCATAGAGCATCGGAGGTGGTAGAATGTGAACAAACTTGGGTGGTTCCAATTGTGAACTATTCCCGTTTTTGTACATGGTCATAGAATTGTCGTATAGGAAGGACATTTGTGCATATCAATTGAAAAGAATGGATGCACAAATAGTACTAATTCAATTTGACAACTCGGCAAAAAAACACGGTTGATCAAAAGTTTCCGGTGGTCGGGTGGGAGATGGGGATTTTGGATTTTTACCTCGTGAACAGAGGTGTTAACCAGGTAACAAGTGGCTCAGGGTGGGGATTAGTAATGCACAATTTATCACCGTACGCTCGTTGACTCTTTTCGATTTGAGACTGTTTACTCATCTGTTGATCTTATTTATCATGCTAGACAAGTGTTGCTAGTATCTTCGACTCAGTCCGATCACATTCCAAAAGGTTCAAATCGAAATCTTAGTTGTTGTTTTTCTTTACTGTGCCTGGGTTCAAACTGTTCAGCAATTTATCATGGTTATTTGTAAGTAGTATTATGTCTCTAATAATACATTTGATTTGGTTTGACTTGACATCTTCATAATATGACTAATTTCGCATCCCGTAAATGAATACTGTTTAATATATCTAGTCTATTAGGTGATGGATTTGGTTTTAAAATGAACTGCGCTTACCACAGGTTTGTTTCTTTCCAGTCTTAAACATAACTTCGGGGGTAACTTACATTGATAATTTGTTTTGTTTTTTATGATAAATCACGTGCCCGGATTTTTTTTAAATCTGAATTTCGAAATTTTAATCTGTCATGTCTTTTCCGGTCTGTCTATTTCAATCTCTTTTTCATTGGCTAATTTAGAGAACAATCCGTATTTACCGGTTAAAAAAATGGTAACCATAATGGTTGTATTGTTTTTTTTTAGAGTACCAAGCTTGGATTAGCCCATTGGATTGTTAAGAGGCACCAGGCACTCACTCTTGATGGTCTTCAGTGTGTGGGTGTAGGATAAGAGATTGAAGGACGCTGAGTCGGTGTCAAAAATTGTGACAGAAGAAGTCTATATTGCGGGTGTGTGGTCATCATTTTCTCGAAAATTGTAGATCCCGGTTGGATCACTAATTATACTCATCTTATTCACATTCAAGTTCTCAATTTTGATCGAGAATCGCATTCTGTTGCCTAATCGGTCTGACGCTCTCCACTCAGGACCCGCGTTAGCAATTGTTCCAGTCCAGTTGTTGTTGTTGATTAAGTGATTAAAAAAGTTTGCGATTTTCAACCTCATTCGTACAATGTGGGTGTTTGTTGTTGATGGGCAAACGGTTTGTCATCTCACCGATTCTCCAACCCCTGTTCCATGCGTATTTTCCGTAGTTGGATGATTAAAAGTGACTGGGATTTTTACTGCACCGCGTGCTTTTGTAACCACGTGATTTGTCGCTTTTCTCGTGCGTACTTCTATGGCAGTTGCTGCACGGTTATCTTGTTATCTTGTGAGTGCTGTCAAATCAAATCAAGTCTACTTATTTGCCATAGTTCACATTATTCATCCATGGTAAATTACACTGTTCCTTGTATGCACACCAACTATAGACAATGTTCCGTGCAAAAGAAGACTAGAACTCGGTGTCTAGCTGTCGACAAAGTTACTCCTCTCGACTTAGTACTTATTATAAACCGTTCTGTCTGGCAGCTTATCAAACCTATTGAAGTCCCGTGCGATTCGCCACTCCCAAAGCTGAACTTGTCAGTTCCCCCAAACCGAACTCTACGTCCTCGTGACCCAGTCAGTCGATCGCTGTTCACGAAAAGAAGTATTGGTACGCTCTCATTAAGTATGGGAATTCACTCATTCGTGTCGCGATACCGCTCATCCACAGGTAGTCTGCAAATTTCCATTCAGTATGATCAGACAGTAGTCAATCGACCAGATTCACCCCCTTTCAGCCGATTTTGTTCATTTTTCTCAAGGTAAATTTGTTCTCCACTTAACGAAAAGAATTAAATCCGTATATGCAGTATCGCGATTTCTAATAAATAATTCTGTCCCCCCCCCCGGGTGGGGGGGGGGGGGGTTGCGTAACGCATTATGCGTCCGAATCTTTCTTCAGATAGTAGTCACTTTATGTCAAACGCGTGACGTGTAGTCAAATTCGAGACCATGTATTTCACACACACATACGTCTGCGCCTAGACTGTGCCAAACAAATCACGGTGCAAAAATCTTTATAGAAAAAGAGAAAGTTCCATGATTTGATTGTGGGTGGGACACTACCAGTCTGTCCTGGCCAAGGCAGGTGAATTTTCTTTGGGAATTCAGAGACTGCAGCTAGTCAAAGCTTAACCCGTAAGGCAGCGAGGGCCCGTGTTCAGTTCATCGGATCATACACCCTGTTGATTCCCTTCCTCAGAATCATTTAGTGTTCTGTCCACTCTATTGCTCCTTGTTTCGTTCTGTCTATCGATTTCTTACATAACGAAGCGAGAGCCTAGTTTCCCCGTCTCTGACACGTTGATGGACATGCAGACACGCCCACCACTCACTCGTATGACTTCAACCACACCAATTCTCTTGTAACCTCCTTTGCCCCTTACTATTGGTTGACCTATGTTCCGTCTATCCCTGTTCTGTACCAGTTCACCGCTTATCATTTATCGGTTATTTAACCATCTGCGCACATATGACCTGTTCTGATAGCTCTTTGGGAGTCACCTGTTCATGTACACACGTGCGTGCACGCACGCCTGTCGTTGTTTGTTGAGAGGTCGAATTGTGTGCGCCCAACTCTCTTATGATTGGCTCGTCTTTTGGGAGCTTCATGTCACTGCTTGATTGGACTTATTTTTTTGACTTCGTATGCTTTGATCATATTCCATCTTTGACACAGCGTTGAGCTGTCCCCTTTTGGGAGCACCTTGATTGTAAGGTGTATTTCGACCTAGCCGAGCACTGTCATACTCCCATTTGATGTACTTATATCTTGAAGTGCCTTGCCGACTGTCCTAACCCAGTTATCTCACGAATTAAAGTTTGTATATTATTTATCCTGTCATTAATTGATTCGTATTAATAGTACCGTATCACTATACCATTTTAAGTTTGATCTAGACAGTCTTGGTTTTTATTGCCTTTTAACCGGGACTTTGCGGGCCACTTGTCGCCAGGTTTAACGCGGGAAGGCAGTCCATTCAGATTCCGCAGCTAAGGAGCTAACACACCTTTTGAGTAGAATCAACCGTCCGAGGTGTCCAAGTGAGCCGGTGACCACTGCTACAACCAAGGTGTGGATGATTGTGGTTCGTACGCCTCCTTCTTGGTTGGTTTGGAATCGGGTATTTTTAGACAACTCCCCCAAGTAAACTAACTGTCAGTGGTTCACCGAATCGTATGTTTCGTACGTTTCGTCCCCTCTCACTTTGGTGGTGGGTAAACACCTCCGCCAGCACGAGAAGGCAGCGAATAGGGCTTCCTCAGCAGAGGCTGTTCGAGACGCTTGGTTGTATCGGAGCATTTGGCGAGGTGCAAGGGGCGGATGACCAGCCGCAACCCTAGACACCAAGCCCCGACCATACTGAAGCTTTTGGAGACAGGAATCCTTGCTACGAGACGTACTAGCTGTTCCTCAGAGCCACGGTTATTCTTTTAATGATAAATTCAGAGCCACGGAAGATC